TGAGGAGTGATCATAGATATGAGGAGTGATCACAGATATGAAGAGTGTGGTGACAATGCCCAAGATAAATGTTGTAATTGTGGGGGACAGCATAGAGTGACTTTTGGAGGATGTGAAATTTGGAAAAAGGCCATTAAAGTGGAGCAAATTAAAACAGTAACTAATATCAGCTACGCTGAAGCTGTGAAAAAAGTTCAAGAACAAACTGGAAAGAGAGAGATGAGTGTACAACAAAACCCAGCATCCCAGTTACCAAAAGAGAGAACTGAACCTACAATTACAGTGGAGAGGATCATGTTGTTCATTGCGTATGTGATTAACTGTGCAGACCAGGTCAAGTACAAAACAGAGAAAATTAAAATAATAGTTAAAGGAGCAGAGACATTTTTTGGTATAAAAGACATTTCATGGGAGTATATTAACAAAGAACTGGGAGGAAATGGGAAGTCAGGGACATCAGGAGAGGGGGCACTCTGATTATTCTACAGTGGAACGCTCGAAGTTTAATCGCAAATGGACAAGAATTTAAAGGATTCATTAAAAATCTTAACAAAAAACCAGACGTAATATGTATTCAGGAAACTTGGCTCAAAGCAACTTTAGACTTTGTTATTAGAGGATATACTGGTGTACGCAGAGATAGAAGTGAGACCCAGGGAGGGGCATGTGTAACATTTGTAAAAACAGGAATGCACTTTAGATTATTAGCAAAAGGAACTCATTTAGAATATTTAGTTGTTGAAGTTTGGAACAGGAAGGAAAGCATCAAAGTAATAAATTTTTACAATCCTTGCAAAAGACTTTCACATGAATCAATGGAAGAACTCAATAGTTATTTAAATGGAAACATCTTTTGGTGCGGTGATTTTAATGCACACAACTCATTGTGGGGCACTAAGAATGATGGTAATGGAACAATTATTGAAGAATTAATGGAAAATAAAAATCTTGTCTGTTTAAACGATGGTAAGGGAACAAGAGTTGATATGAGAACAGGTATGGAATCAGCAATTGACCTCACAATAATATCAAATTCAATAGCAGGAATAAGTACATGGAAGATAGTTAAAGATACAACAATAGGAAGCGACCACTATCCCATAATAACAGAAATAAAATTGGATATTGAAAAATATAAGACAGGTGGTTTGCAGAAATGGTGTTTTGGTCATGCTGATTGGGAAACATTTAGATGTATAAGTGATCAGGAGTAAATATGGAAGTTGATCAGCTAAATGTGTCTGTTTGTCATGCTATCATACAGGCTGCTGACAAATCTATAAAGAAGAAAGGAGGTGAGGGCTGTAAGAAGATTGTTCCATGGTGGACAAAGGAGTGTGATAAAGTAATCAAAAGTCAAAATAAAGTTTTTTAAAATGTTAAAAAGGAATCACAGCTCCCAAAATCTTATTGAATATAAGAGATGTCAAGCCATTGTGAGAAGAACTATAAAAAGTGCAAAAAGGGATTATTGGAGGCATTTCTGTAATTCAGTAGGAAGAGAAACTGGGATTAATAAAGTATGGACAATGATAAGAAGAATGAATGGAATTAAAATAGAATATGGTTATCCAGTACTAAGCGATGATCAAATTACAGCAGTAAAAGATGAAGAAAAGGCAGATCTGATGGATAAAACCTTTACCAAAATACATAGTTCAGATAATATTTCTTTGGAAGGGAAAAGGGGAAGAGAAATGACAATGATAGAGAATAGAGAGATCTTGGAGCATGTAGAGGATGGAAATGATCTATTAAATGTTCCTTTTACAAAATCAGAACTAAATCGAGCCCTACAGAAATTTAAGCTAACAACACCTGGGAAAGATCAGATTTGTTATTTAATGGTGAAACATCTTAGTGAATCCTCTAAAGACATTTTATTGGATCTTTATAATAAAGTTTGGGAGAATGGAAAATTACCACAGGGATGGAAAGAAGCAGTGATAATACCAATACACAAGCCAGGCAAAGATGACACAAACCCAGAACATTACAGACCGATTGCATTAAATTCTAATATATGCAAAATAATGGAGAAAATGATTAATGACAGGTTGATATACTATATAGAATCAAACGGATATATGTCACAATATCAAAGTGGTTTTAGGAGAGGTAGAAACACCATGGATTCAGTTTTAAGTTTGGAATATGAAATCAGAAAGGCCCAAGTTAAAAAGAGAGTATTGTAGCAGTGTTTTTTGATATTGAAAAAGCGTATGATATGATGTGGAAAGAAGGTTTATTAATTAAAATTAGAAATATAGGCATTACAGGACGGATGTACAGATGGATAAAAGATTTTCTTACCAAGAGACAAATACAAATAAGGATAGGAAACCATTATTCTGAAAAATACATTGTCGAAAACGGAACTCCACAAGGGTGTATAATAAGTCCTTTATTGTTTACAATAATGATAAATGATGTGTTTCAAACTATAGATACTGGGATGGGTTTTTCTCTTTTTGCTGATGACGGAGCAATGTGGAAGAGGGGAAGGAACTTGGGATTTATTATTAGAAAAATGCAAGAAGCTATTTCTAAAGTTGAAAAATGGTCATACAAATGAGGATTTAGATTTTCGGTAGAAAAGACTAAGACAATGTTCTTTACAAGGAAAAAAATTGGAGATGATATTAAACTAAAGTTATATAACCAAGAACTAGAAAAAGTGAAGCAGTTTAAATTTCTTGGGGTCTGGTTTGATGAGAGGATTACATGGAATATACACGCACAGAAAGTTTTAGATAAAAGCAAGAAGGTGTTAAATATCATGAGGTGTTTAACTGGTAGTGACTGGGGGGCAGATAGGAAAGCCCTTAAGGCTGTGTGTGTATATATATATATATATATATATATATATATATATATATACACAGGATTAATTCGATCAGTACTAGACTATGGAAACATTGTTTATAATTCAGCAGCAGATACAACTTTACAAAAATTAGACCGTATTCAATATCAAGCATTGAGACTGTGTACAGGTGCAATGAGATCTACCCCAACATCATCACTACTGGTAGAAATGGGAGAAATACCACTCAAAATTAAAAGAGAACAACTAACTCTAAATTACTGGGAGGTCATGGACAGGATCATCCAACACAAGAGACAGTTGAACCTTGCTGGGAAAAAGAAGTAAAAGATATCAGAAGTTTTGGTTGGATTGTGAATCAGAAAACGACAGAACTCAAAATAGATCAGATCAATATAAGTCAAACAACTCCATTACCAGTAATACCACCTTGGATACTTCCAGATGCCATGGTAGATTTTACATTATTGAAAAAAAGAAATGAGAATAATGGGTTCATTTTAAATTCAAATACAGTACAGAACCATATTGATACATATTACAGCTATGTTCAAATTTACACAGATGCTTCCAAGAACTTAGTAAATAAAGTCGGTGTAGCCTTCATTGTTCCAGAGTTCAACATCAAAGTTAGGAAAAGAAGTAACGATGGACTTTCAGTGTACACAGGGGAAATGCTCACAATATTATTAGCCATTCAGTGGGTTGAAGAAACAAGACCATTGAGATCAGTGATTTGTTCAGACTCCAGTTCATCCTTAGTCAGTTACCAGTGTAACCATTCAGAGAGCAGCCAGATATTTTAATAGAAATTCAACAAACACTATACAGAATAAATATGATGGGTCTAATGATACATTTTTATGGATACCAGCTCATTATGGTGTTACAGGAAATGAAATGGCAGATAAAGCTGCAAAGGAAGCCACTAGAAATACATCAGTGAATTTAGTAGTTAATTTTAGTAAATCAGAAATAAAACTATTAATAAAACAGAAAATGAAGGATAAATGGCAAAAGATATGGGAGGAAGAAAAGAAAGGACGCTGGTTCTATAAAATCCAAAAGAAAACTGGAGACATGAGAAGTCCAGGGAGGACGAGGAGAGAAGAAACAATTATTTCTCGTCTCAGATTTGGGCATACTGGGTTAAACAGCTCTTTTTATTTTAGGAAACACTGCACTGGTAAGTGTGAGTACTGTGGAGCAGATGAGACAACATGTAATGTTACACTGCAAAATGTATGAGGAAGAAAGACGACATTTGATTCAAAATTTAAATAAAATTAAAGTAAAACTAGAATTATTTGATTTATTCAGAAATAACTCTAATAGTAAAATTTATCAGATAATCTTTCATTATCTTAAATCAACACAGTTATTTAAGATAATTTAATCCTTGAGTGACATTTTGGTCCACACTCCTCACCAGTCGGGGGCGGTAATGCACCAATTTCGTTGTTTGACAATAAACCTCAAAGAAGAAGAAGAAGAAGAAGAAGAAGAAGAAGAAGAAGGTCGGTGGTGAGACATGAGCAGGACGGGGACACATTGAACTGGTCAGTAGTTGTTGAGGAGCTCGAGGCAGCAGACTCTGAGCTCAGCTGCGCGCGGACGTTGTCCGTAGAAGGAATCTATGGAGGCCGAGAATGGACAAAAAGGACACGCGAAGAATGTTTTGAAGCCGCTTTTAAGGAAAGATAGAACTTTATTGATCCTGCAGGAAGTTATTGTGCCAGAGTTTCAGTACAAAGGAACAAACACAAGAATCACAAGATATAAAAATAGCAAAGAATATATAAATACCAGGGCAGTGGTCCAACTGGTAGAGCTGCTGCCTCTCAGCGAGCAGGTCCCTGGTTCAAATCCCGGTCCAGGGGCCTTCTGGGTGGAGTTTGCATGTTCTCTCCGTGCATGCGTGGGTTTTCTCCAGGTACTCCGGTTTCTTCCCACAGACCAAAAACATGCATGTTAGGCTGATTGGTAACTCTAAATTGTCCCTAGGTGTGAGTGAGAGAGTGAATGTTTGTTTGTCTCTTTGTGGCCCTGTGATGGACTTGCGACCCGTCCAGGGTGTCCCTGTGATGGACTTGCGACCCGTCCAGGGTATGGGCTGGAGACCCGTCCAGGGTGTCCCTGTGATGGACTGGAGACCCGTCCAGGGTGTCCCTGTGATGGGCTGGAGACCCGTCCAGGGTGTCCCTGTGATGGACTTGCGACCCGTCCAGGGTGTCCCTGTGATGGACTGGAGACCCGTCCAGGGTGTCCCTGTGATGGGCTGGAGACCCGTCCAGGGTGTCCCTGTGATGGACTTGCGACCCGTCCAGGGTGTCCCTGTGATGGACTGGAGACCCGTCCAGGGTGTCCCTGTGATGGGCTGGAGACCCGTCCAGGGTGTCCCTGTGATGGACTTGCGACCCGTCC